ATCGACCAAGTTCGTTGGTAGAGAGGTGCCGATAGGAAGATGGATGGCGCGGTAATGCTGTTTGCAGAGAGTTCCAATTTCTCTGTCGGATAATATAATTCCCAATCTCGCAATGTTGCTGCTGCTCTTCGAGCCGCAAGCATCGCGACTCCGCGGATTAATGGCACACGGTGAAATGTGTATCGGTGACAGATCGCTATATGATCGATGAATGTCACTAACGAGCCGGGACGGCATCGCGAGAGAAAGAGATATATCGCGAATTTAGAAAAATTCAAGAGAAATTAAGTGATCAGCGCCAAATTAATCGGGATTCAATTTAATTTTGTTACACATCGAATAACTGAACATCCTTATAACATCTATTCATGTGTGTTAATATATATATATATATATATATATATATATATATATATATATAATTTCATATAGCTGTAATAAATCTTATATAACACTAGTTTAAAAAATATTTTTTTATTGTTTTAAATTACACAAAGTGTTTCTTGTTGATTTTATGATGCTGAAAATCAATTTTCCCCAGCACGTCAGGTTTCCAAAATAATTGAAGTTTAATATGCAAACGATTGCTTTTTTTGCGATATTTGAGATTTTTTGATAAAATGGGTTTATGTTATATTTAGAAATTTTAATTAAATGTCACGAATGTATTGTTCATCCCTTATAAAATGCATTTTTATATTTTGATACCTTATTTTTTAGGCCATGTTATGAAGAAATTAAAGCTACTGCTAAACTACTGCTTAGATAGAAATATATGTCTCATATAAAAAATAGTTTCCAGCTTTAATTTTTTATACATAAAAATGGCTAAAAATTCAGATATCGAAATAAAAAAATGCATTTTACTGGGTATAAACAATACATTCATCTGTTCAAAATTTTCAGATAACGTTTATTTTTTTACAAATAAATCTCAAATATCGCAAAAATAGATCCATTTTTTACATATTAAATCTCAATTATTTCGAAAACCTGCTAGTAGAAATTGGTTTCCAATATCGTTTTCACCATCCAAAATATAAGAACCAACAATATGGTTTAAAATAATTTTTAGTTGCAAACTAGTGTAATCTTTTATATTAATATTATTATTTTATATAAATTATTATCTTATATATATAAAAATTTACAAAATATGTATACAAAATCATATATAAAAATATACAAAATTTATATATAAAATAAAATACATATATTATTACATTATATTATATAATTATATAATTATATTATATTTTATATTATATAAAAATATATATAAAATGAATGTCCTATTATGATTTTGTACATAGAAAATTATATTAAATGTGGATAATAAATATTGCTGAAAATATTTATCTCTGATATAAATTACGGAGAAATCTTAAGAACGTGTTCGTTTTCTCGGGCGAGAACGAGAGTAAAATGGCGACGCGTAAGACTCGATAAGAATTATTATCAGCGTTTGTCTAGATACGGGCGCGCGATAATGCGAGAAATGCGCCACGTAGGACACTATATTCGCGTTGCCCAAGGCCGACAAATATTTACGCAATTCACAATGAGTAAACTATGCAGAGGGGTACCCTAATCGTTCTCCAAGGCCCGGGTAGATAGAAATCGTTCCTGTCGACACGCAGAAATTAATTTCCACGTGTTTCCAGCGCGGCGAGGCATTCGAATCTAGATAAAGGGATCCTGGGCACGACCTTTAGGGTCCACGGCGACCCTTTTGTTAAATGAAGTTCTCCCTAGAGCCGCACATATCACTTAAACCCTACAATTGTCAAGGAACCTGGTACTGCTGCTGTTAGCGTCATCTCCTAAACTTACCTAACGGCTTAAACTCTGCGATCGTCCGATTTGCGAAAGAAAAAGCGCGAAGCGTGTTTTATTTCGTCAGGATTTGCATTGTTTATTAAATGACGCGACTGCTCATTGTGGTAATATATCGCGGATAACGCCATAAATAATACGCATCGCGTGTGCGGCAATAGTCGATATTTGCATGGCGTAAAATTAAAATAAACATCGTATATGCACACGTCGATATATCATTTATTTTATATGTCACCGGTATTACACGTGACAATATGTTACGCTTTCTATTTAGCGATTTTACCATTTTATGAGATTTATGCGCGCGGCACATTAGATAATTATATTAAAAAAAAAAAAAAAAAAAAAAAAGATTTGCCCGGATAATCCCGGTTCTGCATAATTCATTATACTTCCATGCTACTCAATAATTCGCTCTCTATTCTCTTAAATAATAACGTTTTGATGGGATATAAAAAAAATTCAACTTTACAGAAATTTATAAAAAATGCACGACACATTCATTTAACAAAACTCGAACGAAGCATCTCCATCGGCATTCGACAATATTTTAACATGTAAATGTTCGTTACTCCATTTTTTTATTTCCGCCGTACACAGAAATTGGTTACGTTACATGAATTATTTACACACGTTTCTCCTCTCAAAAGGACATGTCTGATAAATGGATGCTTCCAATCTCTTTTCTCTCTCTCTCTCTCTCTCTCTACGACTCTTTCAATCGATAACTTACTATTTGCCGAATAAATAATTGAAAAAGTATATGTATATACATGTATATCCGTCTTGATTCGCGCAACCAGATTTTTCAATTTCACGGATCGTTCGGGCAAACCTTTAGCAAAAGAGAGAGAGAGGCACGAGAGAAATTCCGCTCTTCGAATCGCGCGCATTTTACGTATGATGGGTACATATTTCAGCGACATCCACTCCGTCGGGGGTAGATGAAGGAGAAGAAGAAGAAGAGGAAGACTTGGCGAGGAATGGCGCGAAGACCGAGGGAAATGAACCTCATCTCGGCCCTGTCGCACATCGAAGAATGCTGGGAAGTTATTTTAGGCCTTCATTGCCTTCCAACACGTTTACGCGACGTAACGAAATAATGAAGAAGAGCCCTTTACCGGTGCGACAACACTCCGCTTTCGGAAAAAAAATCTTTGCCCTCTGCAAACTTTCTCTCTCTTTCTCTATCCTTTACTCTCTTTTATATGATTCCTGAAAGAATACCGGAGCGCACGCTAAAGGGAAGACTTTACGATGATGAAGAGCGCCGTGACATTCTCCGCGCATAAATACTTTTTCCATTAGAAGGGGACATAGAGTAGAAACGTGAGCCCTTGTTCTAGGAGCTCGCCTCTTTGTTCTCGTGAACAGTCCTTTTAAAGCTGTGTTTATGAAAAAGTTATCTACGATATAAGCGGGCCACGCGCTTTCGAGCACTCTTCAACAGCTAAGAGCCGATGAAATGTGATCGATACAATCGAATCTGAAAGAGACCTCGTTGTCTCAATCGAACGAGGATTTTTTGCTCGGGAAGAGCGTTATTACTTACACTTTTTACCAGAAGAAAGTTTTGACATTTTTTTTTCATTTTATGTTAAAAATTTTTTTCCACAAATAAATATTAATAACAGAACTTAATTAACTCTTATTGCCTTTTATATGTATATTAATTTTTAAAGAGCTGTTACAAATTATATTATTTTTTTTTTCATTATGTCAAATAATATATCAATTCTGTTTCTACGAACAAGAATATTATATCAAAAAGAGTGGGATAAAAACGTTAAATTACATTTTCCAAACACGTTTCAGTTGCTGATCAAGTAGTGAGAGCAGAAGTTTAAAAAGTCAACCCCTAAAGTGCCAACGAGGGCAAATAAATTTCTACACTTGATACTTACCTATATATATATATATCACAGAAATTATTTCATATATCATTATTTCAATCTTTTGAGCGCCCCAAAATCGAATTAATTATGCAATTATTTAAGGTTTAGCGTTAAAGTGTTTCCACTTGCCATGTCGAATTAATTATATCGCGAAACTTAGGACGTGTTTTAAACGATTTAAACCAAGTTTTCGAAGAGCTAGTTAATTAATCATATTTATATTACATTTATTATAGCTATAATATAGATCTTAAATTTATTAGCAGCCAGGGTTTTCTCCCTCTCTCTCTCTCTTCATTCTACATCTCCTTTACACAGACACAATATGTTAAGTAACAACTACAGAGAGTACAAAAGCAGCACCCAGGCGACGTTTCACTGCGTTTCGCTTTATTGTACTATTGGTACAGATAGAGCAAGAACTCTAGTTACACATGGTTAACGTTAATTGCTGTTGCTGCACCAGCTCTTGAATATGTTAATTAATCCTGAAATGGTAACGCGTAGTACTGTATGTAAACCGAGCAATGTAAACAAAACATTTTAACAGATTGCCGATGGGCTGCGAGATTCACTCATCCGGTATAATATAGGAATTCTCGTAACCTGTTATCAGCGTAAAATGAGCGACCTACTTTCAAGTTAGTCAATAATTATTCGCAGTAGTGAACATCACTGCGTTTTGTTACTGTAGTTAACAACTTGTCTCAAATGCCGCAGTCTAAAATTATTGTTACTAAAAATTTCAATACTTTCTGGAGAACGATAATTATGCATCAGAATTATTCGCGGAAAAATGATGAAGAGTAAAAAATTACTCCAATGATTCTCGAAGCGTAATAATGATTTATTACCCGCAAAACTGCAGGTTTACCTCTAAGATTAAAAAAGTTTAATATAATTTGTAACAGCTCTTTAAAAAATTAATATACATATAAAAGGCAATAAGAGTTAATTAAGTTCTGTTATTGATATTTATTTGTGGAAAAAAAAATTTTTTAACATAAAATATTAGATAAAAAAGTTCCAACTTTTTTGTCTAATATTTTATGTTAAAAAATTTTTTAATTAGCTCTTAAAAGTTTATTTGTTTGTAAAATATTTTACAATATTTTTCCGAGATATTATTTATTATACTTAGTTGAAAATGTGCGCGACAAATATACTATTAATAATTTTCGCGATAAAATTGCTTTACGATTCTGTTTCCATAATGTTCTTTATCAAATAAACATTGCGTAGTGTAATAATACCAAAAAAACTCACGTGTTTTCTTTCTGATCGCCGTTGGCCGAATGTGACGGTGACGGCTGGGCCTGTTTGGAGTAGGGATGATGGTGCACTACGTTGTTGTTATTATTGTTGTTGTTATGCATGTGCACCTTGTTGGCGTTGCTGTCCGTCGGAGAGCCCGGCGAGATTTTGCCCGCCAGAGCGTTGAGTGACTGTAGCATTTTCATTGGGATTCGTCTGACGACCGGCTCGCGGTGGCTCCTTCGATCGTCCTCGTTTATCCTTGAGGAAGACAGGATTGTTGTGCACTCGCGGTTTGAAGGCGTCGAACCCTCAAACTCGACTGTATATCGGGCTACACGCACGAACACAGGACACTCTCGGTTTCGCGTCGAACGAATTTGTAATTCTTAGCACGCGAATCACACACTCATCACGTGGTTTAAGCACACCGACAACACGAGAGAGGCTGCCAGTCCTGTCAAAGTCTCGATTCGTTCGAGGGCAGCGCGTGACGGACGATTATTGAGACGAGCGCGTTCGTTTTTCCTTCCTTTTTTTTTTTCGTGTACTTCAGAATGCCGGAAAAGCGGATGGAGGAAGAGTCTTTGGAGATCCGTCGAAACACAATCCAGCTGTAGAATACGAAACCCTGTGGACAAGTATCGGTGTGTAGAGCGATAAGAATCTTATCTAACATTCGTGGAATTTATTGCGCGCTGATTATTATCGTTCTCGAAATATACGCGTCGTTCAATTTTATCGTTCTCGACTTAAGATTCTGATACGAAGCTGCTGATAGATTAATTATTGCAACAATCACGAAACAACTAATTTTAGTGCATCGCACTATTTTTCATATCTGAACCTATAATCAAATTTGCGAATTACATATTTAAATTGTTATTTATTTAATAAAATGCAATTGTACACGGAAAACATATTGTATGTATTTTTCAAAATCTACTTTTTTCTACAATTATTAATTAAGAAATTTCATCTTGTCTATGAATTTAAATTAAATACATATCTTAACCATAATTCTTTTTGCAATTGTGCATAGAAAATAAATTTGTACAATCAAATGTATCTAGGAATAAATATGTTGTACATCCCCAAATGTATTTTTTAATCCATTATTTTGTGCATTTATTAATTGAAGCCAATTAAAGATCTTACAAAGCAAAGTGTAACTTCCTTATTTATTCAGGTAAGCGCAACACGTTCTCGATAACATCTTTGGCATTGTAATTCCACTGTGTGGAATGTAAAATGTGGCAAAGATAAGGGAAACGCGCACACAAAGACGAATTCCGAGGTGGGAATAGGAAACGACACCGGAGGAAAACTGGCTGAGCAGAGGCGCGTGCGAAGGCTTCTTACGAGAAACTGCTTTGCAACGAGTCAATTAAAAGTTTAAGTTTAATTAGAAACTCTCTCGACTCTCATGTGCGATGCGCAAAAGAGAGGAATTTGGTTTTCCCGCTCTTTCTTCCCTTCCGTCTCTCTCTTTTTTTCGCACATCTCTCTCTCTATCTTTCTTTCTACAACCAACTCTAATCCCAAGTTACCAGGACATGGATTCCCTTTGTTTCGCGCGCATTTCGCAGCGGGTCAAGTTTTAGAAGAGATACGCGCGATAGGAAGAAACTGATGGAAGGAGAACTTCAACGAATACAAAGAGAGAACATATATATATATATATATATATATATATATATATATATATATGTGTGTGTCACCTAAGAATTCGAATTAGTTTCCAGCTTGGCATGAAGGAGCATTTCCCGATTTTCCGTTGCAATGGACGAAACTCTATATAAGTGAAGCGTCTTCAACTTTAGTAGAAGCAGAGCAGAGTAGAAGTTGGAGAAAGACGGATGAAATTTAGAATCTTCAAATGTATGTTTGTAGAGCTGTTTCATGTATATATTTGGTATGTAAGTTATATTTGATATTTGACTAACTCGATAACTTTGATTATAAATTACGTTGGAAATCTCTTGGTTTTGATATAATATCGAAACTTCATTAAGATTACCAAATTTAATTTCAAGAAGTAAATGCTATATACTACAGTAATACTATAGTGCATATTATAGAGCAAAAATTAAGCAAGATTTGCGGTAATTTGTCTGGGCTTTCACGTCACGAATCTAAAATACGATTTATAGAGTAATTTATGGCCCTTCAGAATTTAGATGAAAATAACTGGATCAATTTGCGAGACTAAATTATGTCAATTCTATTTACCGCTTTAGTTTAACTGAGAATAGACGTTTAATCGAAATTGAATCAGATCTGTCACACAAAATTGACAGATACAATGACATATTTATTAGGTATACGTTTTAGTATATATACAAATATACCGGATATTAATTGTTTTAACAGGTTTATTACTGGTGATTCTACGAGAGCAGTTATACTGTATTAATCATCAACCTTGTTAAATCTGGGAAAAGATTTACCAGCGATTATACGGAATAAAAGACGAACTTTGAAAGAGTCGGCTGTTGAAGTAATTCGAAGTGAATGTCCGTCGGTTTTACTAAACCCTCCCGGCTCTTGTAAAACCAAGCGAGAGAATTGAATAGATACTTGCAAATCTCTGCTGCCACTATGTGCAACGCGAGATAGAGATAGAGAGAGGCGAAGCCGACGCGATGGGCGTAAGAACTCGCGAAGGGATTTTAACCTCTCGCGGATTACATTTGAAGGTCCGTCGAGGGGGTAAAAGGATGAGGGAAACGCGTCGGGGGTTTCGAGGGAAAATACAAGCGAAGGTGCAAATTCTCGGCGAGGATGGGAGCTATAATTACCGGAACTACAGCGGTTGTCAAATGTCAAAGAGGACGCACATAATTTAACACGCGAGGTGAAAACTGTACAAAGAGGAAGCTCGAAGGTGAGATAGGGAAAAATAAAGCTGCGAGAAACAGGAGAGAGAGAAAAAAACCAAGGGAACAAGAAAAAAAGATGGGAACGAGAGAGAAACTGATACGTTACTCCCCTAAAACCTTTTGTTCCCTACACATTTATGCCTCTTTGGTTCCCTCTCTATCTTGAACTTTCTCTCACCTTCTCTTCTCGTTTCTCTTCGTTCGCGCCCTCAATGTCACGTGGCCGCTTTTTGTCGCCGTCCACTTAACGCGCTAAAGCGTCAAATTAAAAACTCGAGACGGCTTTGAAAGCCGGGCGATTACTCGCTCTCTGATTGGCTGTTATCGCGTCTACGGCGCGGTCCTCCTCTCGCCCAGTTTGCGACAACACCTGGTCCAGAAAACTCTCCGAGTCAGTCGACTCTCAAGATACCTCCTCGGAATGACGCGTGATGCGCGATAGCGCTGCCACCTGAGATATCACGGCGCGACGATCTCGTCGACGGCACCTGAGCACTACAACTGACGAGTCGACGAGCGCGGTTGCCGGCCATCGTATCTCCGGATAAGCCTTATCGGTATCTAAAGACCCCACCCTCCGTCCGTGGGCCGCATCCCTCTCGCGACTTTTTATTTATTTCTTTTTATGACGTTCCGCGTATTTTTTTTTTTTCTGCTACGTCGACGTGTTCGTGCACGAACTTCGCTTATCTTTTTCCTTTCTGGTTCTCCGATTGCGATGCGCACCTACATCGAGCACCAGCTTGTCGACGAGGTCCTCTTTGATCGTTTATGCGCGATTTAGACACGTCATGACGACACTGACAGCGACGCTTTGTTTTATGATAATCGCGTTAAGGAGCGCGGAGTCCCACGGTGATGGTCATTTTAGTCCCGCGATATCACTTGTAATCCATGAAGGACGAGAGCCGCGTCGACTTTACGACGTCGCCATGTCGGTCGTCATCTGCAAAGAATGTTCATCTGTTAAACATCAAAACCTTAGAAACATCTTAATCGAAAACGTCGTTGAAGTCGCCCGTTCAGAAATTGCAAAGCTATACATACAACCCAGCAAACACAGTATATAAATGTTATATACTTAAGCATGTTACATGTAACGTATATATTAGTTTGTAATTTCCCACTCATAGATGTAACATTTTTAATATTACATATTGTAGTTATATTGTCATTATATCCCAAGATAGCACTGACTTATCGATACATCAATGTGCTATTTGGTACATAATTACAATATTACTACAATGTAATATATGTTATATTAAAATGTTACATCTACGAGTGGGAAATTACAACTAACATGGATGTTACATGTAACGTACACGTTATATTACCTGTTATATTCCGTTTGATTATAGCAATGTAACAATTATATATCGGTGTTTGCTGGGAATCGGATTGAATGGATGATTAAGTCTCACGTGACTTTTTAAGTAAATATTTTTCCAACTAGAAAGGGAAAAATTCCGAGTTCAAGATAAAACGGTTCGTCGATCTTTCAGAGAAATAAATGAAACGAGTGCAATATCCTCAACACTTTCTCATATACATATATACAGGTATATATATATATATATATATATATATATATATATATATGTCTATACATACATATGTAAACGAACGAGTCCTCTCCGAGGTAATATACGACCGGATGTGTCGCCCTAAAAGCGCCTAACAGCTACGCAGTTAAAAGCGAAAGAATGTTCGTCAATATTTTCTCACTACCAGAGCGAGGCGATGAAGCAGACACCGAACCGGCGTTCTTGAAGATTAGATAAGACGCTTCGCTCTGGTGACTTGCACAACGATACCGCTGCCCTCGAGACGTTACTGTCAAGCGCGACTGTCGGCGCTGCGCTGGTGCATTCAACGCCGGGTGGATGCAACGGCACGAGAAATATTTGACGTTTATTGCATAAGTAAGTGCCCGACAATGTGCCCGTCAAACCGCTAAAAGCGGCGCGCGCGGAAATATTTAGTGGATGTACAACGTAGCCATAAATTACGGAGCATTATTGCCTCGACGCTCCACCTCGAGTGACGCTCGTTACACGCCTTTCAAATTAGACTTCCGTAATCCGAATGGCCTCGTCGCGTTTAAAACCTTAAAGTGTCGCTCGTGGTTATCGCGCGATACAAAGTGTCATACGGAGAGACGTTTGATTGATAAGCGAAGCAACTAGTGCCATCACCGCGCTAACGCTCGCAAATCGCCCATCGCGTAATATTAATAATAAAAACTGTCAAACTTTTTATATATCAATTTTATAGGATTATATATAACGTTTCTCACACACGTGGAAAATTACAAACGAAAATATTTTGAATTATGAAGAATATATGTTTGAGACGTAATCAATAGTTTTTTTTATCAAACTAACTCTTTTGTGATAAATATGAGGAATAAAATATTAATAATTGTTCTGCAAAAATTCTAGAAATTATATTCAGAATAAAAATATTTAAATTTCCTCGCAAAAATGGCTTTTCAGCCAATACTATATGTGTGTTGCTTCGCAAGTAATATTATATTAAAAACAATGACATGGTCAAATTATGAATGTTTTTTTAATATAATGCATGATATTATTTTCAAAAAATACGTCAAAATAAAACATACACAAAACTTTATTATCGCGTGATACTATAGTCATTGTATATTAAAATTATTGTTAATGTACATATTTAAAATTATATTACAGGATAATTTTCTTCTTGACCCTATTTATTTCATGATCGATAGCTTTGAGAGAAATATATATAAATTTCGAGATTGCTTCAGGTCGGAATTTCCATAGAGCGAATATTTTTGCATATTTTATAACTTTATTGCATCATTTGACGGGTAAATAATAACAGATCGATGAATAATATCAGCAACCGAAGGTTTACGAAATATTGAAACGCGTTACAACAGAGCATTATTCAATATAGCAATTAAAAATTCGTTCCGATTGATATTAACGCACGCTCACATATCTGATATGTATTTCACTGCAAAATTACGTTACAAAGAGGAATTGATAACGAGATTGTTGCCAAGCCGATAAATGCAGCAGGATGCAAGTAAATATTTAACTATACAATATTTTCATCGAGGAAAGCCTTTATATGAGATAGAAATTTCTCCAGAAATGGCCGTTACGTTTCTACCGCCCCAAGCTTCCGAAAACAAGTTTCGGCAAGCATTTTGTTCGTGTAAAAAGTAAAATAAAGTTGTACAATTTCAACACAAAATTTCAAATTATATTCCATGAAGCAGTTAACTGGTCCTTTGTGTGCTAGTAATATTTCCAACTAATTTTATTTAGAATTACTGAGATATAATATCGATGAAAGAAGGAATAATACGGTATCAAACTTGAAAATGTCCCCCAAGGAAAGAAATATCGACAGAACATACAATTGTAACAATATTACGCGATACGAATATAGAACTGTCAGGCGTTATCGATTGACAAGTGAATTATTTCACATAAATGCAGGGTAGAGAGCCGGTTTGAAGTACGTTAGGCGTAAATAAGCGGCAGCCTAGGTATAAGCAGGTACATATGAACGCGCCAAGTGTGTATCTAGTTCTCGTCCGAAATAACAATGCAGACTGGTATCGTTATATTGCATAGCTAAGCAACCATCATTTATTTGCCGGGGCGAAACAGGGCCCCGGTTTGCAAACCGACAAAGAGGTATTGTTCTTTCGAAGGATCTCCCCAGCACGCGCGCGCACGGTTTCCTACTATTTACACGGCCTAACTCAACATTATATCCCAAAGTTCGCGCGGCTCTCTCTACGAATGATGTATTCCGGGAAAGTCACGCTTCACGCGAGCGAGAGAATTATATATCTCTAATCTATTTATCTCAAGACTTTGCGCGCGCAACAAAAATAACATTTCGCTCCAGATTGTATCTATGCGAGGGTTGCATTGCGCGAAAATTTTCAGAATAGCGATTCTTAATCTTAATATTTATCCATAAGCTATTTTTTTTGTACTACACGTGCAGGCAATGTGGCACTTTCGGTGCATGTTTTCTGTGCCGAAAGCGGCCGATTTCCCACGCCGCCATCTAGCGGCGACGCGATGAGTGAATAAGCCGCGTTCAAAGCCATTGCTTACGGCTGAGCCGCGTTAAAAGTCATTGTATACGGCTCAAGCCGTAGGAAATGTATTGAAAACGGCTATTCCTCCACCGTGCCGCAGCAAGATGGCGGCGTGCGATCGGCCACCTTGCGCACAGAAAACGCGCCGAAACAACCACTTTGCCTGCACTTGCAATACAAAATAGTATGTGTATCAAGTGCGGAAAGTTGACAATTGGTCACGAGTGCGGGGGATGGACGCACTCGTGACCTATTGTCAACTTTCCGCACTTGATACACAATATACTATTTAAATTATTTCTATAGAATTTATTTACCAAAAAAAAATCCGATTAAGATCTTCTTTATTAAGACATGATTCTCTCGACACCAATTCCGAGGGAATCGAATGCAGAATTCAATGAAATTCAAGTGGCGAAAACTCGACGAGAAATTTGCGAGAATTTTTTCGGCGAGTGTCTAAATCCTAAAGTCCAAGCGAGTTCGGACAAGTTATCGTCTCTCCCAGCTGGCTCTCGAACAACTAATCTTTCGAGGGTGACAGCGTTCTTTTTTTTTATCCACCGTGACACAACGAGACTTTCTCTTGCAAACTTCTTAAAAGTCGACAAACGAGAAATTTTCCAAGAGTCGTTCTCAAAAAGTACGACGGTTCAATAAGTGTTTGACGATCTTGTACGATCAATGAATTTATTTACATTAATGGAGAATTCTTAAGAGAAATGCAATTTTTATCAGCGCAAGCGGAAAAAAAGATATTTACATTTTTCGATCTAATACGCACATCGTTAACTGTGGAATATTAATAAAAATATTAAATAATAATTATAACTTATCTTAAATTTAATATTAAATATCACAAAAATTAAACAATTTTAAATGCACTTAATAATATACGAAACGTTCACCTAGAATCTGTTAAAAAAAATGAAAAAAAAAAAAGATTTTTCTGAAATTATTATCTAAAAATCGTGTAATGTAAATAAACCTCGCTATAAAAAATCAATATACATAGTTATACAATAGCCAATGTAGCCGGCGAAAAGCACGCGATATTTATTAAAACGACGATGAAATTACAATTGCATGATCGTATATTTATTTGGAATACTGCGCTCTCTCTGCGTTATTATATACCTGCACATGTATATATTTTGTTTTGCGCGGCCTGTAATAGTGCGTTCATTTTTCCTCGCCGGGTAAAATTGCGCTCCTCTCGCCTCATTTAGTGTAAAATACATTTTCTGTGACCCGATTACAAAAATATTCCCGCGATCGAATCTTTTTCACCCCAGCCCGAGTTTGCCGTTTAATACATTAAATACGAGTATACTCGTTATGCGGCTCACATTTACGCGGAATAAACGAATATATGTGTATGTATATCGCGTATTTGCGACTGTAAAGTTATAACCGTGAATGTTTGCGCGTGGGAGAGAATTTCCAATGCGCGCCCCTCCGGAAAAAGATACTTTACCCGATAGAAATACGGTCGGAGAGAAAAGTAGTACGGATGCAGAGTGTGAAGATGAAAAGTTACAAGAATGTTATTACCGCCATGAATTGCCAAAGGCAGGTTGCGTTTTCCAGCCCGTCGGAAATGTTCCCCTGCGGTTCGCAGCGTGCTTTTTGCTCCTCAAACCTGTTCCATTTTCTACGTCGAAATGCGACACGAAATCTCATCGAGGAGCACGAACGTAATATTATATAAGACCGAATATATAGGTAGAGTGTAATGCATAAAAGTAGAGAAGCCATGTAAACTTTAAAATAGAGACTGATAAAGCGATGTAATGGAGAAAAAAGTTATATAATCATGTAAGAATTGAAGTACTCGA